TGTTGAGTTGGTTGACAAATACACACAAAAGAGCCGACTTATAATGTTTGATATTGGTAGACTTGGATAGTAAAGTCTCTTTTTATACTAACATACACGTTTGTCCAATAATTTACTTTTCTTCATGAGCCAGAAGCCCGTCTTCGTCAGTCATATCTGTTACAAAACTTTTGGATAGGATTGAGATATGTACTCTTATTTATACTTAAAAACCATTTATATATGTGTTTCAGTTACCCAGATTTGATATCAGTGAAAACCCTATGGATGAAAAAGGCTTTAATGCTCTTGGTTCTGCTTTAACAACAAATATAAGAGTTCTTGACCTTGTCCTGCAAAATTGCGAACTCACGAAAAAAAAACTGGATGTTCTTGGAAGTCACTTTGGATTACAGGTTTTGTTATTTATTGCTGCTTGATCTATCTTCGAATAAACAAACTGCAAAGTTATATCAGAAGTTAGCTATTCAGCATTTGCGATAATGCCAGTAATGATTTAGGGAAAATTGCTAGATCATAGGGCTTTCCAAACTTTTAAACCATACAGTGGAATTGGGGTTCTTTTTTACAGTACATGAACTTTTTGGCACGGCTGTTCTGACTGTTTATCGTTCAATCCATGGACAACGAACAACGTTAAACTAAATTCAGACACAATATTGTAATTTCATCAATTTTAATTTTGTCTAACTACACAATTTCTTTATTGATTCACTGACGTTGCCGCCTAAACTGTTTCAGAATATGCGAAGTAATTGTAAAATATTATGAAATTATAATATAAGAAACATCCTCGGTGTATTATAGGACCTTCTTCTAGTCATTGCTGATTGATATCCTTTTATGTTGGCTGTTATTTATTGCCTCTACGATTACGATTACACACAAAATGAAATATTTGTATTATGTTTTTTTTTCAATTGAAACGTAGGACGGCGGCCGCTAGAATACGTGGGCGATATTTAATATTCTTTCAAACACAAAAACAGTATTTGAAGGTCGCGATATTTGGATTAAATTGGAATTGAATATCTAGGCCTATAAGATTGGACACCGAGAATACTAGCTTCAGTGCACAATGTATCTGAATCAATTAATGCATCTGGATACCAAACATCCATTTCATATTATGTGATATATCTCTTTTTTAATCTGAAATAATGTGTACTATGAATAATGCTCAAAGACAATTGTTTAACCCGTCTGCCCTACACAGCACACTTGATTAAAGTAAATATTACATAGTATCGGTATTGGAATATCGGCCTTTTTGTAATATCGGTGTATTGGTATCGGCGTTTTTAGATGGTATGGATCGTTATCGGTGACAAAAGTGGTATCGGTACATCTATAATACACATCATTTACAAAAATGATGAACAATAAAACTTTTAAAATAAATTAAATGTGTAAAATAATCAACCATATATATCAGTTAATATTTAAGAGACGCACTTAGCAAATCGCCTTCGGAAACCGATGGCATAACAATTAGAGCCGACATTGTTGTGCAAGCAAATTGTGTCTTTTGATCAGTACAGCATATAGACATTGTTTTGCAAGCGCGACGATTTTACCGGGTTTCCATAAAAATACGACATAACCTGAATTTCAAAAATATTTTTAATATAAGCCCCACCCTTAAGATAATACTTAGTCGATAGCGTATTTTTATTTTTGACCTAGTCATTGACAAGAAATCTTTCCTACTACTTTTGAATGGTTAATAATCTATGTTCAGCAATTATTTTAAATGAAAACGTATCATTTATAAGTAAATGGAAATTGGTTTTCATATTTTGTATATTTAAAAATCTTGTAATTCTCTACTTTGTAATTTTGTTTTTGAAAAATGATAATAAAAGATCCCCCAAAAATAAGCCCTATATTGTTATTTTTCAAAAGCTAATTGAAGACAGTGTCTCATTTTCGGGGAAACACGGTATGATGATGAATTCATTCGATATTGTGGGGTTTTTGTTTTACATTATTTTCAACAATTGTATTACGAATCAAGGGTCTGAAAAAGTGCAAGAAATATAGTATTTTGTGTAAAATTGCCGTTCTCTTTGCGTCCTCTAAAATTCGTTTCGTGGCCCCTAGTTTGGGAGGCCCTGCACTATTCAACCATATACATATTTAGTTGAGGTTTAATATAGGTAGAATATTTTTAGTTATTTGCTGTTTTATTTTTCAATAGCTTCAAGAAGTATAAAATGTTTAGATATCTGTTGGCTTAGTGATATTGCATATTGGAACCTGGCTAATTTGAAAGCTGACCAATTTAGTTAACTAGGTCGATTCAAGCTCATCATTCACTACCAAGTGGTAGTTTGCAAAGTTGTTCACCAAGCTCAATTTTTTTGTAATTATTAGATTACAAAGTTGGATGTCAGTCATAATTCTATAAATGAAGAAGCTTTTAATGCACTTGGTTCACTTTCAAATAGTGTTGGAGTAGATGAGCTCATCATGCGGAATTGCCAATTAACAAAAACCAAACTTGATGCTTTTGGGAGCCATTCTCGATTGAAGGTATAATGAAGATCATTTTGTTTTAGTGACATTCCTGAATCTTGATTGTATTACTGTCAGGTGTTTGCCATCTTGCATATCCACAATGCGTTATTAGACTTACGTGCCATCAAGTGTTACATTAATGATCGGTCTTTCAGGCGATAATAATATATGTTTATTGGCTGTAATTACTATCAAATCTTTTTCTCATCTATCTACTGGGATTTCGTCAGCTACTCTTTTGGTTCATATTTTTCATTCAGTTTTCTCGGTAAGACTGATCTTCAATAGGATAGGATTGGAATTGCATATTTATCCTGGGAGATATGGTGAATCATGGGGTCTAGTACGGTTACCAGTCCATGTCGGTTATGGAACTAGTTGGCCCTATCTTCGTTCCAGATGCATGGAATTGATGGTGGAGGAAGCCTTATCTGACCAGTAGTTACATGAATTATTTCTAAGATGACCAGCAATCCTTTTGCACATAATTTCCCCCCACAGGATATGAATCATCGAACTACCGCAAGGTAAACAAAAATGCATCGGCGGGCGTATTCATAACGCTTAGCATGGTGCGCCACACCTCAGAGCCTAGTTTTCTGACCTAATATTTATAAATCATGCTCCCTTTGCGTCGAAAAACATCTGTTTTTATATCTCTAGTAATATATAAGTAAGAATGTAAAATTAACTCAACACAGATGCAACTTATGCTCTTATTTCCATTTTATTTGAACTAGTTGATACACTATATTTACTGGTATTTAAGAAACTATTTTTTCTTGATGAACGAGGTTTCGGTTTTTATGAATAGTATCTGTCACAAAACTTTTAGAGAGAATTCAGATATGTAATCTTATTGTTTGTTAAATTTCATTTCTATGTTTTCAGTTTTCCAAGATTGATATCAGTGAAAACCCAATGGATAAAAAGGCTTCAATGCTCTCGGTTCTTTATTAACTGCAAATAACAAGGTTTTTGACCTTGTCATGCAAAATTCCCAACTCACAAAGGAAAAACTAGATGCTCTTGGAAGTCACTCAGGATTACAGGTTTTGTTTTTTATTACTGCTTGATCTATCTTTGAATAATCTGTAAAGTATATCCGAAGTGGTTTGCTATTCATCATTCCTGCTAGGTGGCGATGTGGAGAAGATGAAATTGAACTTTTTTCTTGAATTTATCTTTTTTTCCGGTGTTAGTTGTTAGAAACAAATGGTTCCATCGGTATTATTATTCATGTTACTTTATTAATAAAAAAGAATGTAAGCATGTGGCAGTATTCATTTCAATGCAGACGCAGGCCCTTTTTATCTGGCCGTGTATTGGACCAACTGAAGCTCAACGGTGTCACTTATAGAGCTAAGAAATTGTATTACATCACACTACTGTATATCTTGCTTCGTTTTGTTGCAAATTTCAAAATTTAGTTATGAATATTATATAAAAATGTTGAATATGAACACTCCCTTCTGTAATCTTATTTATACTTGAAATCCATTTATTTATCTATGTTTCAGTTATCCGGGTTTGACATCAGTGAAAATCCAATGGATGAAAAAGGTTTCAATGCTCTCGGTTCTTTATTGACAGCAAATGATAGGGCTCTTGACCTTGTCATGCAAAATTGCCAACTCACAAAAGAAAAACTTGACGCTCTTGGAAGTCACTCAGGATTAAAGGTTTTGTTTTGAATTGTTTCATGATATATAATTAAATAATCTGTTCATAAAGTGTATGCGTAGTGATTTTCTATTCAGCATTCCTGTCAAACTAGGTGGCGAGCGACTTTTGTCAGCAACTTTTTTAGTCTATATTTTCCCATTAGTTTTCTCTAGGTAGAGATAAGGATAGGGTAATATTTGGTACTCCTGAAGTATGTGCACCAAGATGTCGCACAAACTGAACCATAACCCTATACACAACCTGAGTTCAGGTTGTGCGCCATCTTGGTGCGCATACTTCAGGAAGTCCCTATATTTCCCCCTTAGTTTTCTCTGTGAGACTGGAATTTACTAGGATAGGATGGGATTTGCATATTTTTCCCGGGGGAGAGATGAGGCGGCTTAATCATATGGCGAATCACAACCTCTAGTCCGGTTACCAGTCTATGTCGGTCATGGGATTAGTTAGCTAATTATTTGTTTTCGGAAGCATGGACTTGATGATGGAGAAAGCCATACTCGACCAGCAGTTACGTGAAACACACTACATTGGCAAGAAGTCCAGCAACCCTTCCGCACATAATTTTTCCCCACAGGATTCAAACTTGCAATCCCAAGCAAGGTAATCAGAGATGATGTGGAAACTTAGATTCTTATATTTTATTTGAACTAGTTGATACACTATATTTATGCTTTCTGCTAAAAAAAATAGTTTTTTTATGTCGGTTTTTATTAATCGTATCTGTCACAAAACTTTTAGAGAGAATTCAGATATGTAATCTATTTGTTGATTAAATTTCATTTCTCTGTTTTTAGCTGTCCAGGATTAATATCAATGAAAACCCAATGGATGAAAAAGGATTCAATGCTCTCGGTTCTTTATTAACAACAAATAATAAGGTTCTTCACCTTGTCATGCAAAATTGCAAACTCACAAAAGAAAAACTGGATGCTCTTGGAAGTCACTCAGAATTAAAGGTTTGTTTAATATTGCTGCTTGATATATTTTTGAATAATCTGTTAAGCATATCCGTAGTGATTTTCTATCCAGCATTCTTGCCAAACTAGATGGCAATGTAGAGTAGATTGAATTGATCTCTTTTTTTTTGAACTTCACTCCTTTTCAGTGTTAACGATTCAAAGCAATTGAGTTTTATTGGTATTATTTGTTAACTTCTGTTTATAAAAAGTTATAACACCTATCAAAAACTCAAGCACTCTCTTTGTAATGGAAACATGGCACCCATATAGCTGATTCAGATTTTATTTTCGTCATGCAAAACCAATATACGATATGAAAAATTAAACAAAAGGCATATAACAAATTACGAAGAGAGATATCGGCTTGTTGCAATAGACGTGGGATCGCGAAAGACTAAAAGAGTAATCCAGTCAGCGACACCTTGTAGCTGCATTGAAGCCGCAAATATAGCAAACGAACAACTCAATAATAAATAGTCACTAAATTTGACACAATCATATATATAAAAGGGACAACAAAAAAAATGCCTTCAAGCTGCTAATGCCACAATGACCACGAAAAATTACCTAAACATTCACTTAATTAGACTCGATCACAAAAAAAGAACAGCAAAGTTTGAAAATAAACTACAGGGTGTCATAATTAATAACTATGGAATATTAGACTCCATAGGCAAGCTAGGCTTTGTCATGATCCAACTGAAGCTTGACGGTGTAACTTATAGAGCTAGCAAATTGTATTACAGCACGTCACTTTTAATCTTGCTTCTATTTGTTGCAAATTTCAAAATTTAGTTGTGATTATTTTATAAAAATGTTGAATATGATCACTTCCCTATGACATAATTTGTTAGTTGAGATTTATTCTTCTATGAGTCATGATTTTCCCCATATTACAGGCATTGATATGAAATACTATCTTTCATTTTCATAAATTTTCAAAGTTTCCTCCCAATAATTCTATTCGTTTTACTAGATTTGCTCTCTGGATATTCGATCCATTACCGGCATGACATTCAATCTATTTCTTGCAATATCTAAGTTTGCAAGTGAAAATGAGGTCAAAGAACTTCTGATGGACCCCTGGAAAGAGTTCAAAGCAACTAAAGATCAAATATTGGAATTGAGTAAATGGAAAGTCTGTGGAAAGGTGTGTAACATATTATGACGACTTGGAATATGACAACAAAATAATTGCCTAATTCAGCCTTCTGTAATCGGCCTATCTTATATGGGGTAATTGTTTACTAATGGCTTTTTGTTTTTGAAATGCTTATATTGGTAGTATTTAAATGTGTCTTATCATTTATTTCCCACTGTTTTTCAACAATTTAAAGCGTAAGATTATATATATTGATAAATCAACCAAACATTCAAACTTGCTTTTACCACATTAATGATGTTGCGTTATCTTTATGCTTTCAGATATCCATCATTGATATCAGTCAAAATACAATGGACGAAAAAGCTTTTGATACTCTTGGTTACCTTTTATCAAACTATGAAGTTGACCAACTCATTGCAAAAAATTGCCAGCTAACAAAAGCAAAAGTTGATGCTCTTGGAAGTCATTCTGGATTAAAAGTATGACAAAGTTGTAATATTATGCCACTGTGTTTACCTGTTGTTAAGCTGGTCGGAAAATACAAACGAATCAGTCAATTTTATATGATATTTGATATTGGTAAATTTGGGTAGTAAAGTGTCTTTAAGTAAATGTTTATTAAATTGTTTGAGGTAGCCATGTGAAAGGTATTATGATGTCGAATAATAATAATGTCAAAAAATCTAGCATCACACTTTCATTCGGTAAAATGTCTAAGCTAGAGTCTGTACAAACAACCACTTTTATGCAAAAAACTCCTTGGCCAAGAGCCAGTGTCTGTTCCAAACGTTCTGGATAGGATTTAGATATGTAATCTTATTTATACTTGAAATCCATTTATTTATCTATGTTTCAGTTATCTAGGTTTGACATCAGTGAAAATCCAATGGATGAAAAAGGCTTCAATGCTCTTGGTTTCGCTTTAACAACAAATATAAAAGTTCTTGAACTTGTCATGCAAAATTGCCGACTGAATAAAGAAAAACTAGATGCTCTTGGAAGTCACTCAGGATTACAGGTTTCGTTTTTATTGCTGTTTGATATATTATTGTTTGCATAATCTGCAAAGTATATGTTGAAGTGGTTTGCTATTCAGCATTTCTGCTAATGCCTGTTATAATTCAGGGAAGATATCTAGATCATAGAAAAATAGTCTAGGAAATATACTTATGTCATTGTTTTTAACAAATTTGAAAAATATACACTGAACAAACATATACATATCTGAGGTATAGATCAGTCTATTTAATTCTTTTGCTTATTTTGTCAATAGCTTGAAGTACAAAATGCATAGATATCTGACGACTTGGTGATATTGCAAGTTAGAACTTGTCTAAATTCAAAACCAACCAATATAGATTGTAACAATTTTCTTAAACTAGATGGTTTCAAATTTCGAGTTCACTACCAAGTAGTTATCTGCAAAGTTGTTTACCATTCTCTATTTTTTGTAATTTTCCAATATTAGATTTCAAAGTTGGATGTCAGTCACAATTTTATGAATGAAAAAGCTTCCAGTGCGCTTGGTTCGCTTTAAAGTACTGTTTGAGTTAATGAGCTCATCATGCGAAATTGCCAATTAACAGAAACCAAACTTGATGCTTTTGGGAGCCATTTGGCGAACCATGGTGTTTGGTCCGGTCAGCAATCTATGTCGGTCATGGGACCAGTTAGCCAGTTATTAGTTTCAGATGCATGGACTTGATAGTGGAGAGTTATTAGTTTCAGATGCATGGACTTGAAAGTGGAGGAAGGCGTAATTGACTAGCGATCACAGGAACCACTTGGTGGGGAGAAGACCAGCAATCTTCTCGCACATAATTTTCCCCAGAATATTTGAACCTGCGAACCCAAACATGGCAATCAGAGATGCGGTGGCTTATTACTAACGCTTAGCATGGCTTGGCATCACACTTTCATTCGGTATGTCTTGAGTCGAGACAAACAGTTACTGGTATGCAAGAACTAATTTATTTTGAATGTTGGTCTAGCTTGTCTGTCAAAATGAATCGAACGTATTCGAATACCATTTCGGCTGATGTTACAATGTTTCCGAATAATAGCCACTTTTCGCCGTCAGCAAGGTCTTTTGTTTTTGGAAAAAATCTTCAAACGATTTTCCACGCTTTGTCACGTATTGTAATGACTATGAAATAGAATCCCAACTTTGTTTATCTTCTGTGCGAGCTAGCGCCTCATATTGTTGTGACAATTTTGCACAATTGCGAGATTGGTATTGCTTCTATTCTCTTGCAAGGGATTCTTCTAATTGACACATTCGTTTTCATTAATTATGTAAAGCCGTAATTGTTACGATACCCAATAAATTGTTGCAAGTCGGGATTATTAGGAAATATAATTTATACATTTGAGATACCAGCATTTAAAATGCCTTGCTGTTTTAATTTAATTCTGTTCAACGTAACTCATGAATATGTCTAATTATGGTAAAATGAAAGCATTGGCCTACTACTCCAAAATTTCACGGCAATCTGTGGACATGAAATGTATGGAAAACTACCAGATTATATTTAATTTATGATTTGTAATTTCGTACTTACGAAAAAATTATAGCATTGATATTATGCGAAATATTGAATTATTTGGTATTAACCATCTCAATTAAAACGTAGTGCTGAAAATAATAGGTCAAATTGCATTATTAGAAAATATTTTTCTTTTTATCACACGTCTCGCATAGATCCAAACATAGTCAAATATTACCGTAAGTGAGTGCGCCTTGTTAAAAATTACGACTCTCAATAAATTGTCGCAAGTCGAAAAAACAAGTTGATTTATTAGGAAAATAATATTTACTTTTTCCCGCTTTTTGACAAGTAATTTCGATAATGATAGTTGAAAGTTTGGAATTTTTACTAGGACGATTTTCTGTTGCGCAAAATATTCGAATCCTTGAACAATACCAGCATTTAAAATGCTTTATCGCTTAATTCTGCTCAACGTAGGCCATGGTTGCGTCGACTTAATGAAACATAATAGCATAAAATGTTGATAACAGTTATTTCATTGTTTATTGTATGCACATTCCTTCATACACTAAGATGAACATACTTTACTTGGATTTAGTTTCGAATGTATTAAAAGTTTCATATTCGAAAATAATAATTTTAAATGTATTCGAAATAGTCAATTTATTCAATATTGGCCACCCCTGACACTCGGTTTTTATGAATCGTATCTGTCACAATACTTTTAGAGAGAATTCAGATATGTAAACTATTGTTTGTTAGATTTCATTTCTATGTTCTCAGTTGTCCAAGTTTGATATCAGTGAAAATCCAATGGATAAAAAAGGCTTCAATGCTCTCGGTTCTTTATTAATAACAAATAATAAAGCTCTTGACCTTGTCATGCAAAATTGCCAACTCACAAAAAAAAAAACTGGACGCTCTCGGAAGTCATTTAGGATTACAGGTTTGTTTATTATTGCTGCTTATATCTTTGAATAATCTGTTAAGTATATCCGTAGTGATTTTCTATTCAGCATTCTTGCCAAACTAGATGGCGATGTAGAGTAGATTGAATTGATCTCCTTTTTTTTTCACTCCTTTTCAGTGTTAACGGTGAAAAGCAAATGATTTTATTGGTATTATTTGTTAACTTCTGTTTATAAAAAGTTATAAAACCTAGCAAAAACTCAAGCACTCTTTTTGTAATGAAAACATGGCACCCATATAGCTTGCTTTGTCATGATCTAACTAAAGCTTGACGGTATCACTTATAGAGCTAGCAAATTGTATTTCGTCACTTTTAATCTTGCTTCCATTTGTTGCAAAATTCAAAATTTGGTTGTGAATATTATATAAAAATGTTGAATATGAACACTCCCCTATGACATAATTTGTTAGTTGAGATCTATTCTTCTATGAGTCATAATGTTCCCCACATTGCAGGTATTGATATGAAATACTATCTTTCATTTTAATAAATTTTCAAAGTTTCCTCCCTATAATCCTATTCTTTTTACTAGATTTCCACTCTGGATATCCGATCCATAACCGGCATGACATTCAATCTATTTCTTGCAATATCTAAGTTTGCAAGTGAAATTGAGGTCAAAGAACTTCTGATGGACCCATGGAAAGAGTTCAGAGCAACTAAAGATCAAATAATGGAATTGAGTAAATGGAAAGTCTGTGGAAAGGTTTGTAACATATTCATTGAGACTTGGAATATGATAACGAAATTATTGCCTAATCCAATAAATATGTTGTAAACATTTTGTTGAAAAACCTTGGATCTCACTTTATTGTACAGAGTGTGTGTGAATTTAGTGAATTGATATCCAGAGAAGGTCAACCCCTAACCATTGTTTTTTTTACATTTTCAAATAATATTTCGAATAAATTTTAAGTTCAGATTTTCCAGTTTTTCAGAATGTTTTTATTTGATATTCTAGTAAACAGAAGGTTAAAAAATCCTGGATTGAGAAACATCAGATACTTCGCATAACATCTGGCACCGATTAGGCAAAAAAATGAAATGATAATAAATAAATGATAAATTTTCGAAATGAATATTCAATTTATTTATGAATTGAAGGACTAATTTAAATATTTATTTTAGTTGGATGTACTTAATGTCAGTAACAACAAGGATCTTGGCGCTGCTGGTTTTGGTAAAGTTGGAACAGTTGTTTCAAAATGCCAGGTGAAGGAATTGAAGGCTCTGAGTTGCAATCTGACAGCAGAAGGAATAAAAGCATTCAAGGAAAACACTCGCAATGCCAAGGTAACAAACAGGTTAACTTACATAAATGGCCATGTATTGGATATAAATCAAGCATGTCTTGATATAACAAACAGTTTATGAGTTGTTTAATGGCTATTCCAGTGGAATGACTTTGGTCACCACAGAGTATTTTTAGACATTTATAACTCCCAAGACAAATTGAAAGACAATTCATGAAACTGTGCCGGCCAGCATTATTGTAATCTACCATGAAATATCGATTGGATCAGCAATCCTGTTGCACATTCACAATGACCCTTCACGACAGCAGTCGGAACCGAGCAGTATGTGGCTGCTTGAATTCGTTAGGAAAATAGTTTTATAATGCAAACAGCTTTATAAACAGTTTGTGAGATCTTTTCCGTCTAAATGTCTGATATCACTGCTTTTTTATCTAATGAAATATCATTTTCTGGCCACTTTACTCCAGATTGGTCGGTTCGCCAATTTCCTTTTTTTACAAAAATATCGAGTTGTTTGATCGCAGCTGCCTCACCGAAAAAAAGTTAGTTCACATAAGCGTTTTATCTTGCAAATTCTCCTTGTCTCACGATTATAAGCTTTTATGATTCATAATAAATGTTTTATTATGACTCACAAAAGCATTCAAGCGATAAATCACAAACAAACAACCGATCGATCTATCAAGCTTAGCCTGGCCTGATTCGATGTGGTGACTTCTCAAACGGAAAAATTCCAAAACGCACGAACGACGCGCACTATCGAAAAGCGTTTAGTATCATATCAAAAAGAAAACCAATGTGCAGTCAACTGTATAGTCACATTTGAGCTTTACAATAGCTATACACGTCCTCATTTTCATTCAACTCATTTTCTGGTCGTACTATTTCATTTGCCCCTATTTTCTATTCAAAATTTATCATTGAATAATCGCAAAACCAACCATGAAAACAAATTTCACTCAAGTTTGATTCGTCTTTAAATAACCGCTTGCCGAGATTAACACTTTGAAAACTAATCATATTTGTTAGTGTTTAATCGGACATTCACTACAAAATATTTTGATCAAAACAACACGCCTGTTTCATAATTTGACTGCCGTTGCATGAGCCATATTATTGTGTATTGTCGGTTTACAGGCGTAAAAGATTGGGAACCGCTGTTTCTGCTTTATCCATGCAATGACAGTCCTGCTTATATATCTGAGTGACTGTTCATACTTCTTTGATGCGAAGGTTTTCTGTATTGAAGACAATGCATTCATATCGCCCACTGCATAAATAGATCAACTTAAACGAAATTCCA